CAGGCCCAGCCCCAGGAGTCACCCCCTGTGCCCCAGAGGATCATCCCAACCCTCCTGCAGCTCTGGCAGCCTTGGGGCTGTGCCCACTGCCCTGGGGAGCCTGTTCAGTGCCAACCACCCTCTGGGGGAAGAACCTTTTGCTGAGATCCACCCTGAGCCTGCCCTGACACAGCTCCAGCCATTCCCTGGGGGCTGTCCCTGCTCCCCCCAGAGCAGAGCTCAGTCCTGCCCCTCCTCTGCCCCTGCCCAGGCAGTTGGAACTGCAGGGAGGTCTCCCCTCAGTCTGAACACCCCAAGTCCCCTCAGTGTCCTCACACACCTTCAAATCAAGGCCCTTCCCCATCTCTCTGCCCTCCTTTGGACACTCTCCAATGGCTCAATCTCTCCTTCCATTGTGTCCCCCCAAACTGCCCCAATGTTGAGGTGAGGCCGCCCCAGGGCAGAGCAGAGCGGGACAATCCCCTCCCTGCTGCCCCCAGGACAGGGATGTCCCTCCTGGCTGCCAGGGCATCATGAGTCATCATGGCCAACTGGCCACCCACCAGGATGCCCAGGGCCCTTTCCCAGCACTGCTTCCCAGCCTCTCATTCCCACTCTGTCCATCCATCTGGGATTGCCCCATCCCAGGGGCAGAATCCAGCACTTCCCCTTGTTGGTGATTCCCAACCCTCTGATCTGTTGAGGTCTGATTGTAATGATTCCCACTGATCAATTTGAATGTCTCGTCCACCAAAAACCAGTGTTTACCAGAACCCTGTGCTGTGCAAAGAGCAGACCTGTGTGCTGAAGGTGTGTTTCAGTGCTGTACCACTCCAATATGTGGCACTATTGAATTCAGTCTCCATCACCTCTTATCGAGCCGCTGGAATTTTTGATGTTAGAAATCTTCAGCTGATCACAGAAACCTTCTGTCACCAAATGTAGAAGTCTGTGGCTAAAATGTGGCCTCCTGCATCACAGCATGGGATCATACCCCACATCACACCCCGTTAGGTGTTATTTTTAAAAGCAATTGCTCTGAGCTGTGCTCCTGCCAAAACTGGTGCTTGACATTTCCATCAGGTATTGGATTCTCGAGTCACAAAATCTGTTGTACCAAAAAATGGCTGAAAGTTGCTGTGACGTTTCAAGGACTTTGTGCAATTTGTGTCCGAGGTTTGTGCACAAGTCCCCCTAATTCTGCTAAATTTAGCTGGATACTTCCGTGGTGCAGTGGCATCCCACTGGGAGGAACTGACTGGCACGAGAGCCACATGTACAGAAGGTGTTGGTGTGGGGTGTTCACGACACTTTGTATCCTCTCATAGGAGATGTGTATGGAATTCACGAGGGGGTAATGCTCTCACTTCCTCATTCATACAGGTCAAGCCATCCAGCCCTTGTATGTGTAGATGTACTAAGTATGTCCAGTTCAGAGGAGGAACAGGGAACAGTGGAAACTGTGCTGCAGCATGGAGAGGATTGCCCCATGGAAATGGCACCAGAATCATTGACAGCAAGTCCAATGCAAATAACACTTGTGAAAACAAAAAGGAAATGCAGAAAACTGCTTTTCAGTGGGTGATCAGGTCCAGAAGCTGACAAGA